AGAAAAAGCTACATTTTTTTTTACTAGCAAAGATGTCAATCCTGCACATTCAGCTTCACGTGCATAGTCTCAGTCTAATCTTATATAGTTGATTTACAGCAGTTCAATGAAGAAGTATAGCCTTACTACTATTTTACAGCATGAATGAAACCTAAATCAACAATTGTAGAAGTGCTTGATAGTTGTGCTCACTTCTATGAAACTGAAAATGCTTTTCAGATGCTTTGTGTCAATATTATCACTGTGGCCTGCGTTGATGAAAAAGTTGATAATTTGCCTACGAGTTGAGTCAAATATATTACTATGAGTGCAGACTGAAACAAATCATCTGTCTAGCTAAGCTACCTAAAAAATAATGGTTATTTATTAATAGGCAGAGCACTTATTTTGATCTTTCTCATGATATTTTACCATTGCATTTTTCCCCAGGGGATCATGTTGAACCAATACTTGACTTGGTTAACCCTCAGCATGAGTAAGATTCCATACTAAACAATTGGACATGCAGATCTGATAGTTCTTTGTTCCTGAGGAATACACCAGTTCTTTCGCCCTCCATTTTTTCATATATGTTTCTGTCAATTTATAGAGGCCCTTGGGGTGCACGGTCTCCAATACCAGAAAATAATGCCATTGCAATTAGCAAACAGGTCAGTACTTCATATTTGCATACTTTCACACTGTTTGAAGAAAGCAACCAGCACACCAGCCTCTTATGTGCAATCTGTCCTCATTCTTCTTGTAGAATGCTTGATTCCTTATTTGGTTCCGTTGGATATTGATTTTCTCCACTACGCTTCTTTCAAACAGGATGGATCTCTTTTCGCGGCAGCGGGTGATGCATGTGCTTATTGCTGGGATGTGGTATGTATTTTCTTGAGGTAAAACATCACATTTAGAAGTCCTGAATTAATTAAAATGAAATATGCCTCTGCCTAAGAATCATTTAAGTCACAAGCTTCCATATCCATAGTATTAATGGTCTATGTGACTGCTTGAGGAGGTGTCTGACAATAGTTCCGATCATGTCTGCTTGTCTCAGGAAAGTGGAAAGTGTAAAATGACCTTTAAGGGGCATACTGACTATTTGCATAGTATCGCAGTTCGTGAGGCAAACCACCAGGTTAGCATATTATTTTAGTACTGTAACATTATCTTATGAAAACCTGCTAGATTTTGCCATAGCTTTTAATGGACAAACTTGTGCTTTTTTTCAGGTGGTAACTGGATCAGAGGATGGGACAGCCCGTATCTGGGGTGAGCAATCCTCTCAATTCGAGAAAGTTTTTGTATTTGTTTTTTGTTTAAATATGGCTTATCTGTGCTCTTCCAGTTCCTAGTGGTATTGGCAGCAATATCTGCGTCTCTAGTTCGTTCAAAGAAGAAACACGCAGCATGCTATAGCAATCTCTGCTCCTATTAGTTTTACTTCTCTGGCCATAAGACTGACGCAACATGCTAACAAAATTTATCATATAAGTTCAACTTTGGCAGGCTTTTATTCTGTTATCATGCTTATTCATGCTCTTTGTGGACACTCCAGATTGCAGAAGTGGGAAGTGTACGCAGACGATACGTCCAGTACAGAACAAGAAATTTGAGGGCTCGTGGGTCGGTTGCATTGCCATTGATGCGAGTGAAAGTTGGCTGGTATTGGGCACATTTAGCTTATATAGATACCAAGTGTTTGTTAGTTTTAGCCAAGTTTTTTGCTATACGTTATGTAGCTTACTTTTTTTTTGGGTTGTACTATTCCCAGGCTTGTGGTACTTCTTGTGGTATATCAGTTTGGAGTCTTCTTTCAAATGAGTGCATCTTTAACGCAGATTGTGGTGCTCCTGTTCAAGATTTGTTGTTTGACAAAAATCAAGTAAGTGCTGATCTGTACATGTTCATTTGTTTCCTCCCTGCCCAAGTAAGACCTTCAGTTAGCTGGCTAGGTTGGAATAAAACTTGAAAATAGAACAGTTTTTATAATGCTCATAACTATGAGTTTTATAGAAGAACACTTCTTCCTTTTTTTCACCGATTCAAAATATAAATAGGACAGTAACTAAAACCCATAACTTAACCGAGAACACGTTTAGTAAAATTGGTCAATGGACCTTCCTTTTTGTTCAATAAATTGGTCAATGACTCAGTGTAACTCATGATTCAGATGGCCACTAAACTAGTCCAGTAAACTGGTAAGGTTGCTCGATGCTCATTGTTAGAAATAACTACTATTTAGTTTGAAGATGGATAAGAAACATCCACTATAGTAATGCCTCGTAAACTGGTAAGGTTATCCAGTGCTCATTAATAGAAATTGCTCATCACTAGTTTGTAGATAGGCAGGAAATGATCAGTGTATGGTGAACTTCCAAGGTTACTCAATGCCCATCATTAGACGCGGTTCGTCATTGGCTTAAAGGTGGACAGACAATAATATTAGAGACATATGCCTGCCTTTACTGAGTTTAGCAAGCACTATGGCTATAACAAACTAGACACCCACATATCCAATTACTTCAATCATTTCCATGCATCTGATATGATTAAGGCGAACAACAATTCCTGCTGGTGTATGTTTTATCACAGAAGACTGTTTGAAATTTATCACTAAAGACACCAGTAGCCTTTTCCAAGCATTTGAGATTTGGTTGACTGCCAAACCAAGACCAAGTAGCTCTCAAGCAGTTGCATAATACAAACTTTGCAGGTCAGAAAAAATGTTAGTGGATCTCCTCTCGAGATCCACCACACACAAGTGCAGAAAGTATGCAATAAAATGGCGACTTGTCTTTAATGCTCTTTAGTCTGTGGCTGGCAAATTATAATTTGCAATGTTGCTGGATGATGTGCGGTTTCAGTACTACTAGGTGTGAGGAGGAGGAGGTTAGCCTTGATGGTCAGGTGGTACCTCGGAAGGACACCTTTCGGTATTTGGGGTCAATGCTGCAGGAGGATGGGGGTATTGATGAAGATGTGAACCATCGGATCAAAGCCGGATGGATGAAGTGGCGCCAAGCTTCTGGCATTCTCTGTGACAAGAGAGTGCCACAAAAGCTAAAAGGCAAGTTCTACAGGACGGCGGTTCGACCCGCAATGTTGTATGGCGCTGAGTGTTGGCCGACTAAAAGGCGACATGTTCAACAGTTAGGTGTGGCGGAGATGCGTATGTTGAGATGGATGTGTGGCCACACGAGGAAGGATCGAGTCCGGAATGATGATATACGAGATAGAGTTGGGGTAGCACCAATTGGAGAGAAGCTTGTCCAACATCGTCTGAGATGGTTTGGGCATATCCAGCGCAGGCCTCCAGAAGCTCCAGTGCATAGCGGATGGCTAAAGCGTGCGGAGAATGTCAAGAGAGGGCGGGGTAGACCGAATTTGACATGGGAGGAGTCCGTTAAGAGAGACCTGAAGGATTGGGGTATCACCGAAGAGCTAGCTATGGACAGGGGTGCATGGAAGCTTGCTATCCATGTGCGAGAGCCATGAGTTGGTTGCGAGATCTTATGGGTTTCACCTCTAGCCTACCCCAACTTGCTTGGGACTAAAGGCTTTGTTGTTGTTGTTGTTGTTGTTTAATGTTGCTGGATGAGAGAATTGAAATGAGAATATAAGGACGACACTTCAAATAGAGATAAAATAGTCCGTATCTTCTTCCAAGAAATACCCCATTGTTTTCACCTTATCTTTTATTGGAGATTACCAGACTATTTATGTGAAAAGGGGTGATGAGTAATATAAACACAAAGTGGCATGCATGGTTTATCTCAACTCTTTTGCTTCCAATAGGATGCTAACCGTTTCGGCATTTTTCCTTTTCATCCATGTCCACTCAGATTTTAGCGGTTGGCGCTGAACCTGCGCTCTCCCGTTTCACGATCAACGGGGTTGTTGTTTCGCAAATAAAGTGCGCTCCTCCGTCGGCATTTTCCGTCTCCATGCATTCATCTGGGGTATGTATCCATGTCCTTTTTGGTGCTCATTCGAGACCACTTCTTGGATCTGCATCATCTCCCAATATCTGGGGCTGGAACTTGTGTTCTCACTCGCTATCCAATGCCGTTACAGATGGCAGCTGTTGCTGGGCATGGAGGTCTGGTGGATGTCATCTCTGGATTCGGGAGCCATCTTTGCGCGTTTCGTTGCCGTGGCCTGGATAGGTAATCAGTTACCGAGTGCTGATGAAGCGTTACTGTGCAATTTCCATTTGCCACTCCCACATTAGTCAGTGGAGCGCGAAACTGTATTTCTTTTCCCCCCTCACTGTTGTAATACTTGTTTCAGTTCAGTCTGCGGAATGATTTCCTGACAAGGATAGATTCTTTGTAAATGTCCTTGTTCTAGATATTCTGTTGGAGGTTTCAATACAATCCGTCTCAATCTGTTTCACGTATGTTCATTTTTGGAGTTAGCTAGAAAGAAAGAGCTACTCCTGCAACTCTTACTGCTCGATAAATTTGGTTTCTGAGATTAAAATAGCTCTTGGTAACTTCAAATTGTCAACAAGAACAACAGAAAGATGCAATTGCCACCAAATTGTGTGCTCAGTTAGTCAACACCAAGCTGAGTAATACAACTTCGCTTACATACATTAAACAAAGAACCAAGTTATAGGCGTACAGCCCAGGTTTACATGTAGTCGCTACCAACCAGCGACTAATACAACTCCTCTTACATCAAGAAGACAGACATACTTACAGTACAGGCTTACACACCGTTGAAGTCGACTGATTTTGGAGTTCCACCACCACTCAGGCACACTATTTACACCTTCAACCCATCACCCATGGAACCAACAGGTGTGCCAGAAATACCCATTTCTGGCAAATATGTACACTAAAACCCTTCCTATATATACACGAAGGCGTGGCGTGGACCGCGGAGAGAAAGATATCACCAGCAAGGCTTCCAAATACGAGTGGTTCTAAGAATTCCATCATTTCATCCTCCTACTCCACAAAGCAGATATCGGGAGCTTTCTTTACCTACCACCACCTATTCGTCGAACTGCACGCTAGGTAGAAGAACTTACAACCTGGGCAGCAGCCACCCAAAGGTCCAGCCAAGGAGCAACCCCGCGCCGACGATGCCTACGCCAACTGCAAACATGATGGCCTTGCAGAAGCCACCTTCCTTGCTCTGCCTCCTGCCTTTCTTCTTTGCCCTGCCTTTCCGCCCCTCTTCTGGTTCCGCCTTCTCCTCCTTCATCACCGTCCAGGGAAGCTCCGGGAACATGGCTGCTATCTGATGCTCTTTCAGCCTGAGCTGGAGGCATATGTTCTCCAGTTGCAGCATTTTCAGCCACTGCTTACACGCAAAGAGGTGCGAGGCCTGACGAAACAATAGCTTGACGACATGGTCTTTCTCATCATGAGCATTCTTGGCAGCCACCTCGGCTTCCCTAGCCCGTGTCTGCGAATGGCGAAGAGCGTCCAGTAGCTGGGCCCTCTCGGCGTCTTTCTGATTCTGATATGTGGGCTTGCTGCCTGGTGTATGATCACCACTACTATATGAATCCTGCGTGCCTCTGCATTTCAAATGTAATGTAATGATATAAATAAATGCACAGAAATCTGGAAGAAGCTTGGATGAAGGAAAGGGCACCTGAGGTATTTCCAGGAATAACATAATAACAATATACAAAAGAGGCATAAAAAGGACATCAGTGGACATGATGCCAAGTTACATTAAAATTAAATTCAGTCAACTTTTACCCGGGTGCATTTGACTCTTATCCATAATAAGTTTTTTGTTCTTGTCGCAAAATTACCGAAAACAAGTTAACTGGCTTGCAATTTTGATTATGACAACGCGCAAAGGACTGACATTAATTTACTACCATATACAGGCTGGAACTAAATTAACAGGCTGTTCCTTCAATTTCAGCCTAAGTAGTATTGGGTGTAATATGTAGACAATGGAGCTATAAAAGACTCCTTGTAGTGAAAAACTACATAAAAAAAAGAAAGTATGAATAGCGTGCAAATCTATACAAAGGTAGGTTCCTAGTTGTAGTTTTGATGGTTATGAAACAAGACAAATGAAAACACATACCCATGTGCATCATTTTTGTGAGACTGTTGCCAGCCTCCACCGTCAGATGAATTCGTCTCATTGGTGCTTGAGAGGCTATAGCTGCACATCATAGTGTCGTGTGGTTGCGGCCGCGACTCTTTACCAGAAGAAGATAATGAATTCCCACAGCCATCCTTGTTTTCATGACCGTTCAATTTTGCCCCATGAATACGCACTATCTGAGTGGGTTTTGGCAGATCATTGTTCTCAATGTGCTGCATTGCTCTTTCTGCAACAAGCGAAGCCAGTCCTTCCTCATCAGCTACTTGCCACCAGGGCTGAGACTTCCTCTCTTGTTCCCAAGGTGGATCCATCTCATAGCATGCCTTCTTTGGTTTCTTTGGAAACAAAGGATCAAAAGTTTTGAAGTCCATAACCTCTTTATCCTCATGAAGGAAGTCATTCGGATTTCCTCTGCATTTGAGACTCGTTTGAGGGCACCCTTCGCAAGGTGCTTCAGATGTTTGCTTCATAAAAGCCGTCGAAACCATCCATGGCAGCTCAGAAGGGCACTCACTCTTCTTTGTGTTTATGTCGTCAAGCGTAGAGATTGGCGAGAAACTGTCCACTTTCTTGGCAGTGGCTTCTCCGCCCATGTAATTCAGATGGTCACCAGAAAGCACCTTGTGGCACCCGAAATTGGGCTGCAGCTGAAGAAACCAGGCATCTATCGGCTGATTGGAGTTCATCGGGTTCCAGTTCAAATGCATGAAATTCGGGATGTGGCAGTCTCGCGGACTGGTGGGGTTCCCGCTGTTTGCTTCATGCTGTTGCATTGTCGGTGGACAGCAGGCCAATTTTGGAGCTCTCTTTGCATCCTCCTGAAACAAGCAGCGGTTGGCAGCCCGTTGCCAAGCAGCTCTCGCTTCTGCCGCCGCCATCAGTCTCGCATGTCAAAAGTCTGCCTGCACATCAGCAAGTTGACCATCAGCATTAGCTCATACTTTTTGTTTCAAAGTGAAAATAGTAGTGTATCAGCAAAACGCTCTCCCTTTAAGAGATGAGAGCCACAACGCAGCTCACAAACATTCCCAAAAATCATCTGATGAGCTCTAGCTTATGATGTAAACCATTCACGAACGTCCCCAGTGAACCGCTTCGCGTCGAAATTAATTTAGATGCCAGATATAGGACAGTGCTACGCTGTAAATGATAGTAGTACCATCTATCCGAGTATGCTGCTTCCCCAAAGGCCCAAAGGAAGCAACCATTACTATTTCCATCCATCGCCCAAGAAGAAAGTAACCGTTGCTACTAATTCCAGTGGGAGTGACTTTGGAAGGGAAGTACGAGTAGTAGTAAAAGACTACGCAAGTATCGCCGCCGACAGACCCCCGACCCCGACCCCTATCAAGGAAGCAGAGGAATCATGGCGACTGGATCTGGCCCACTGAACAGATCGGATTGACGCATCTTTTCAACCCCAAACCTCGACTCCATCAAATGATGGCATGACATGGACCAAGAAAATTTTCAGGCGAGCGTGCTTGACCTGGATCGGCAAGAAATGGAGCCGGGACGAGTGAGCCCCACCCACGGGATGAAGATTCTGAGCCAGGCGCTTGGAAACTTGAGCGGCGAAGAGGAAGACGCTGATCCCTGCGGCCGGCTACGAGCTAGTAGGTGAGATGAGTGGATCAACAAGTCCTAATAAATGGAGAAGGGGGGAGAAGAGCGGAGACTGCGGGCAGGGGATGGGATCGGAGCTCCCTTGCGTTGCGTTGCTTGTCTGCCTGCTCCCTCCGGAGAATGACGTGAAAGCAAAGCAAGGGGAACAATCAGACGCAAAGACAGATATTTTAGTTACTTATCATTGTTACTACTGGTGAAATGAAATTAAAAAGAAAGAATTTTTCTCGTCATTTCTTGTTAGGCGCGCGCGCGCCTCTTCTTACCTTGGCTGGCTGGCCGGCCGACTGACAGCGCCGTGCTTCCGAAGGCCGGATTTCCGCTGCCGGTCTGTTCGTCCTCCCCGTCCGTCTTTGACTACGATTTTATTCCGCGGTTTTCCGTTCCTGGGGGCGAGCGAGGGGGGAATGGGACTGGGACTGGGACTGGGAGGGTCCGTGCCGTCTCGCGGCCTCCTCGATCTCGATGGGAATCTGTGGAATCCTATCCATAGGTTTCTCTCTCCAGCTCTCTTTTGGAGTACTACTACTATTATTATTTTAATTTGCTGCTGTTTTCTGCTTGGAGTGGTGTGAGGGGTGGGGTAGGCAGGGGGCGGTGTGTGTGGGGACGTGTGTGCCCCGCTGATGCCGCCACATCACCTTCCACCTGAGCCAGGTGTGTGACTCAGAGCATGCTTGGATACGTTTTAGTCCCATGACTAAAAGTAGTGGGACTAAAATTTGCTAGTCTCACCCATGCTTGGATCCAAATACTAAAGAGACTAAAATCTAGTTATTGAGCATTTATTATCCTCCAAACCCTCCAATCCAGAACTAAGGAGAGGAATTAAATGAGGAGAGAGAGAGCTAATACATATTTTAGTAGGTTTCCCATGACTAAAAGATTTTAGCCTCAAGACTAGTCCTAGCCTCTCTTTAGTCAAGGGTGCTTGGAACTTTAGCCTCTAAAAGAGACTATTTTTAGTCAGACTAAAAATAGTCCCTTGTATCCAAGCACCCTCTCACTCCGCCAACCAAAACAATTCATTTTACGAATGTATTCCAGCAGTAGAAGGTATGCTTCTTTCATGTTTTAATTCTTCAAAATTCCTATGCAAATCCTTTGAATCAAATGAGCCTTTAGGATTATTTATGAATATGTTTGTATGCTCTATCTTGAAGAAAAATAATTCATCCCCTCAAGGTTCTTCTTTTTTTTTTAGAAAAGGAGATGACCCCCGGCCTCTGCATCTGGAAGATGCATACGGCCACTTTATTGATTATTCTCGAGGACCATACAAAGTATTACACCAATGTGCCTGAATCCACCATCTTGGCAACATATGCCACTACTCCTATCCAATATGATGAAGGGGTGCTAGCCGGGCCACTACCCAGACCACTCACGTAAACCTAACATCAAAAACCGGAAGCCGAAACACATTCGGAAGCCCTAGCCGAGCCACATACCGGGTCTGGGGCATAATCCGGTCAGACGCACTCGTGTGTCGTCGCCGCCATCTTCCATAGGTCCGTCTTCAGATCAAATTGAGGCTTCTACCATGTCTGGCCACTCCGCCATTGACGCCACCATGACGCCAAACAGCAACCTCCTCCTGCGCGAGTCCATCTCCGTGCATCGGACGTCGAGCCTCCACAGCGCCATGCTGCCGACATCCGCCGCCATCAATATGTGAGATGGAGCACCGCTCCACCATCCCCCCCCCCCCAGCCTACACTTACTCCAAAAACGACGCCCCCAGGAGAACCGGAACGCGTCGGAGGAAAAGCGGAGGCTTGGGCGAAGAAGGGCACGCCGTCGGCAGCTGTCACCGACCCCAAACAGCGCCCGCCACCACCCAGCCCTCAAGGCGGTGCCTTCAAGAAGGTCGCGGCGCCTTCAAGAAGGTCGCGGCGCCTTCAAGAAGGTCGCGGCGCCAAAGACGCCGCCGCCGCCCACCGGAGTTAGGTTTTCACCCGAGAAGCTAGGTGGTGGGGAGTGGAAGGGCAGACCTTGACAGACGTCTCCATGAAGAAATCGACGCCCGCGGGCATCGTCGTCGTCGCGGCCGGCCGGAGCCGACCCGGGTTTCCCCCGATCTGGATCCCGACCACCAAAATCGCCCGCATCCCATAGGCAGGCCATCCAGCACACCCAGGGACCTTCGCAGGAGAAGTGCACCGAGCAGGGAAGAAGGCCAGCAGCCAGATTTGGCGTCGCCAGCCGCCAAGGCAGCCACACGAGGCCCCAGGCCACCGGAGATCCGTCGGCCACCCGAGCAGATCGCCGGCACCACGCCCACCCCACTGCCCGCCGCAGGAGACAGGGAGCCTCGCCAGGGGCCGCCGCCCGGATCCAAGACCCTCCGATGCAGATCGGAGCGGAGCCGGCCCCGCCGCCGCAGTCCCAGACCGCGCCCCAGGCATGGCCCGGCGCCAGCCTCGTGCGGCGGCGAGGAGAAGATGGAGAGAGGGAGGTTACGCCGGCGGGAGGGGAATCACCCCCCGAGACGCCCGCTAGGGGCGGCGCGGGGGCGGGGGGAGGGAAAAAAGAATCTACCTATGCGAGGAACTCCTTAACTCCTTGATTGGAAGAATGCGACTGCCCCCTCAAGGTTCTTCTATGGATTTCTTGTGTTATGTTATGGATTTATTTATTTTAAAACACGGTCTCTTATGGCCTGATTCACTAAAAAAAAGATACTCCCTATTGCTCTTGTATTTCTTTAAAGAGGGAGTAGACATTATGCTTTTGTATTTCTTTACAGAGGGAGTAGAAGAGAGTTGCCCGACTAATTAACGAAAAACCAGGTGAAAACATTATTTGATGTTAATCCTCTAGCTGTTCTGGGGTGCTGGCCCTATGGGGTCTTAGCACGACGACTTCCCGACTGTCTACTACAACAAGTTGTGCCCGGCTCCGGCGATGGAGGGGCGATGACGGCGGCACGCCTTCGGCTCGCTTCGGTGCTTCTAGTCGTCGCTAGGTGGTCTACGATTCTGGTTGTAATTTTTATTTCTGGTCTTCGTTGTACTGCCATGATTGAAGATGAATAGATTGAAAGTTTTTCCGAAAAAAAAAGAGCACGTGACATTATGATGTCATCTTCTTCCAATTCTTTTGTTTTAGAAATCCTGCAAATCAAAGTAGCCCGTACGGATTTCTGTTGTTCAAACAAGTCGTGTGACTCAAGACAACATCTATGTCCACAGTTGCCAACAATGTAAAACTCAGCAAAGTCTTCACAAGATTTCCATTCT